TAGTCTGTGTTAGTCTGGAAGCTCCACTGAAACCTGTCCACCATGGGCGACGCTGCTAGTATTTGAAATACCAGTGGCACAGCTTCCAGCATCACAGCAATGCTCAAGCCAGCACGGTATGACAGACTGATGGACAGGAGGTGGTAAATATGTCTGTCTGCCATTAGTGTCAGACAGACATTTCAAAATGAGTCAATTTACAGTTTAGGATGTACACTTACTCCACTGAGGTGTGCCCCAGTTTCCCGGAGCCTGACACATGCGGCGGTGCCTTGTCTCTCCTTCTTCCAGCCCCTCCCCTGGGGTGGGAGAATGCACGTGAGCCTCTAAGCACAGCCTGGCAGCTGCCACATGAAGCGCGCCCTGCCTGGCGGTTGCCTCTCTGGACTTCCTGTGTGGCTCAGGCCTGATGAGCCCCCGGCAGGATCCTTCTCGGGGCCCGTCCCTCGTCCTCGGGGGCTGTCGCTCCAGACCTGGAGACTCATTCCCTATGTGGGGCGGGCTGCTCCGCTGATGCTGTTTTGGGCCATCGAGGAGGGAAGAGGAGATGATTTCAGAGGTGGTTTTGCCTCCCCCTCCCCATCTCTCTGCATTTAAAAAACCTATCCTTCTAGAAGTTGCAGATTTTATTTAAAAGTTTAAATTTTCTTTCTTATGAAATCTAGTAGAATTGGATCTCTACCCTGTGTCTGATGTTCCTATAGCAGAACGGGCTGTTAATACAACTTGCAGCTGTTAATACCTTCCATTGGAGAAATTCGTTGCGTAAAAGCAGGATCGTATCAGCAGTAATAATCGCACACGTTACGTAGCATGACCGATGGGTCAGATGCATGCGAGAATGAACGCAGCTCCCTGCATATGAATTCAGGGTGGAAGTAGCAGATGGCAGCTGTTGAGCTGTCTCCAACCCATGGCAACCCCATGTACAGCAGAACAAAACGTTACTCAGTCCGCCTCATCATCATCCCCATCCTCATCCTCATCCCCATCCTCATCCTCGCCAACATTTTCGAGTTCATCGTTGGGGCTCCTGCGCCAGTCCGGCTCACTGAGGGACCCCTTGCCCTCGCCGGCCCGCCGCTTCACCAAACATGATGTCCTTCTCTGGTGATTGATCCCTCTTGATGAAGTGTCCAAAGCAAGCAAAAACCAAAAAACCC